GGTGTGCTGCCTTGTGTTTTCTCAACACATATCTTCTAATCTTGCTTTCAATCTTTCTCATTACATTTCACTTTTTTCTTTCTCTTTCTTTTTCTCCTATTAAAAAAAGACACTGATGATGAAGAAGCTAAGATACTAATATTCAGATATTCAGTTCTGCTTTCTACTGAAGTGGCAAAAAAAAGACATCATATCCGGGGTGTGACCAGGGTTTAAATGTAAGAACATGTGATTCGGGGCCATTTTGTCTTGATCTCTTAGGCAGGGTTGCACAGCACTGAGATGTAATAAACTTTATTTGTTTGTGAATAAACATTAAAGGCTGAGTACCGAACCTGTTTTCGCCACCTGATTTAGGTTCTTGTTAAAATAAAATACCCATTCCAGGTTGGGAATGAGACTACATCAAGCTAAGGAGCTCAAATATCTGGGACTCTTGTTATTGAGTGATTGGATGATCAACAAATCAGGACCTCATCCTTGCTTTGAGGTGTTGTGGTGAAGAAAGAGTTGAGCCAAAAGGCAAAGCTCTCAGTTTACTGGTCCGTCTGCAGTACATTCCAACTGKGTAAAACCTTGGGATTGCTCAGGTGGAGCTGCAGAACTGAGGACAGGGAGGTCTGGATTTCTCTCCAAGACCTGTTGATCACTTGTACTTGACCATATCCCTGGAATTATCTGCTCAACATTTCTTTTGTTATAATTTGATTTAAAAAAATCAATGAGTTGGGGTTTTCCAGTCACATTTATCTTGCATGACATGAAGGAACTGAAGTACCCAGAAATCCTCCCAGGACTAGCCTTAAGCCCCTGCTTAAGGACCCTTAGGACCCTCCATAGATGTTAGGTGAGTTAGATGATTTTTTTGACTGATTTATGCAGAGAAAAACATTAATCAAACTAAAAACCACTTGAACGTAATAAAAAATTAGAAGAATCAGTAAGATTTTCATACTTTTGCATGTTTTTCCATCAGGTCTGAGTGTGAAGCCTTCTCTACATTTACACACACAGCTGCTGTCTGTGCTCAGGAACTCCTGCTCACATCCATGGCTGCCATCGGCGCAGGGGTCCAACTCTGGAAGGAAAACYTCATTTTAYATCCAGTCCCATCACCAGAACACAGACGACTCKAAAGCTCTTACTGCTGCAGGTCTTGTTGTCCGGGTTGAGCCTGTAGCCCTTGTTGCACCTGCAGATGTAGGACTCTGGAACGCTGACACAGTTCTGCTCACAGCCGTGGTTTCCCAGGTCACAGTAATCTATTCCTGAGGACGGTCACTGGAATTAATATCTGAACTGTCACTGCAGCTGGAGCAGGATTTAACACGATTCTGCACCGCTGCTAAAAGCCAAACGTGGAAAATAACGTGTCCGTATCTGTGTGTGTTTGTTAGCAAAATATCTCATCAACAACAGGTTAAATTTGATCGAAACCTGCGGAAATACAGTATATAGGCTGGTGCAACTGATAAATAAATATAACTATATATAGCTATAAACTCTTTCAAGGAATGCTTGGCATTTCCTCATATATACTGTGTATTTGGTTAACAAAAGCAAACAGTCTGACGTAGACTTGTGAACTGTTGACGTGTCGTTGGCTGTAAATGTTACTGAGCAGCTATGTGACAACCTGCAGACATCTACATGATGATTGCAGCAGCACACATTTCTCAGGAAATCTGCCCTGTTTTTCTCTCTGTTAACGTTCACCAGAGGAACAAAACAAAACTTTTCCATCTGTGGGAGGACAGAGAGTCAGCAGTGGGAGGGCTGCCGGTTGTCGGTTCAGCTGCACAGACAGAGAAATTACACCTTTGTGAAACCGCTGCTCACAGGAGTCATGGCACACAAGTATTTTTTTACCTGATCAGAATAAAGTTCATTATTCAATAATAAATCTGATTTTTTTTTGTCTACTTAGAAATATTACTATGGATTAGTCTTTTGTCTATGTAATCTTTGTCTACAGCTCAGTTTCTGGGACTAAGAATGAGGATTATGACTCAGTTTTATGACAAAACATTATGCTATATATATACTGTACATAGTAGTATGTCCTTT